TTTCATTAATATAAACACAACTTGTCTCAGCACTTGGGGATCCCTTTAAAATATTTTAAATTTTTTAAAATTATTATTTCTGAAATTTCTAATTGCAACTAAAAATGACATTTTATTTTTTAAATTAGAGAGTAACAAATTAAAAAAAAATTACATAAATTTATTTACTTTAATTATTTAAACATTTTTTATTAAATATTTTTATTAGCGATTTTGTTGTGAAAGCAAATTATTTTTCCTTTAACTTTAACTTGCGTTATAAAAATAAAAAGTTTAACTTACGTTTTATAAATCAAACTTATTTATTAAATTAGTTTTTAATTAATCATATATTTTTTATTAGAATTAAATTATATAATTATGAAATTTGCTTCAAGCTTAAAGTTTATTGTTTTTCAAGCCAAAAAATCAATCATTACAACTAAAAATAAATAAAATATTATATAAAATAAAGATAAAATAAAATTTAACTTTTTTTTATTATTAATATTTGTTTTATTATTAAACAGAAATTTAAGTAAATTTTCTTTATTGCAATCAAAGGTTGTATAAATATTCTGGTACTCAGGAGATAATAAATAAAAGATTTTATTATATATATTTCTTAAATGGCTTTTTTTTTAATGCATCGTTTAACAACTAAATTGTTTTTAACTATAAGCAATTTTGTTTTTTGTTACTAAAAATTTCAATAAATAAATTAGCTAAATTAAAATTAAAATTTCAATTTTATTTGAGTTTTGTTTGTTACCAAACAGCATCTAACATAATTACATCTAACATAATTGTCATTTTTGACTTTTGTTACAAACTTTTTTAATTATCGTCATTCAAAAGTTAATGTGATTTTTTATAAATATAATTACATTTATTATCTTACCACTTTTAGAACAATTTAAAAGTTAAAAAATGATAAAAAATTGCTTCATGGAAATCATTTTAGATGCACGTAAAATTGCTTAACACTTAGCTAAATTAATGATCTAATTTGCCATCACCTTAACGCTTTAAAACAAGAAAAAATATTTATATTATACACCTGCCCTTTAAAACAAGGGTCAGCAATTAAATTTCGTTGACCTCAAATACTTAAAGTATTTGAGGTCAGCAACTAATTGCAAACTTTGTTTCTATGTTTTTTGGTAATTCATTTGTGTCAAATTATTTTTGCTGACCTCTAACACTTTAAGACTTATTTTTCCCAATTCCGAGGGCTGATATATATATATATATATTTATATATATATATCAGGTCTTGTTTTAAAGCGTTAAGCGTAGAGCAGTTTACATACGCCTTAAACAATTTATATGTAAGCAGTAAGCGATTTAGGTTAAGCAATTTTGTATCATTTATAACTTTTAAATGATACTATTAGCGGTAAGATAAAATAAATAATTAATTTAAAAAAAATTCACATCAACTTTTGAATGACGTTTATGTAAAAATAATTGTTACTAAAGTTTGAATGACAATTATGTTTGATATAAGCGCTATCTAAATAATAAATTTAAATAACAAATATTTTTATATGTAAATATTTACTAATAAAAAAACATCAAATATAATTAAAAATTTATTTTTATTTTATTGTAATGACTGATTATTTAAGGTTAAAACAAAAATAAAAATAAAAATTTAATTCTGATAAAAAGTATATAATTTTATTCTAATTTAAAAAAAAATTTAATTTAGATTGAAAAATTATAACTTAATTTTGATTAAAAAAATATATTTTTGTTTAAGATTAAAGTTAATGCTTGGGTTTAGCTTAACAGTCAAATCTATTTAAAAATATTACTAAATGTTGTTTAATTTTTAAATTTTATTTATTCTTAAAAATAAATCAGCTTATTTTTGTCGCAATTGCTTTTTCGGTTTTTCTTACTAAACATTTTTTTTTTACTTAAAATTAAATTTTAAATTAATGGCCACATCGAAAGTTTGCACAAAACGTAAGTTAAACTTTTTTTTTATATACAACGCAAGTTAAATCACAGCAATTATTTTTTAATAAACGATGTAATTTTAATAAGAAAATAATAAACTAATAAAGCCGCAATTACAAATTTAAGAAATAATCATTTAAAAAACTCAAAACTTCAACATATTTAAGTCATTTATGCAAAAGAAAGAAATTTGTTAACACCAAATAATTAATTAAAGTTACATAAAATTTAACTCGCTTTGTGCTAATTGATATTATTGCAGTAATTTAAAAAAGTTAATGTCTTTAAAAAATAAAAAAATAAAGAGAATTTTATGACATCAAATATTGCGTTAAAGCTAATGCATTAAACATTTTTTTATTTAAAACAAAACCTGATATATATATATATATATATATATATATATATATATATATATATATATATATATATATATATATATATATAGGGCTCAATATAACGGTCAGACATCAGACATTGTCCGGCTAAAACCTCAAATTATCCGATCAATTTACAAAGTAATCGGACATTTTGATAGAAAGGAATTAAATTCTACAAAATAAATACTTTAGTATATATATATAAATTAAAATTAAAAGTAAAGTAAATTAAAAATAAATGAAAGGCTTTAAAAAAAACTCAAAAAACTCTAAGTTTAAATAACTTTTTGTTACATTTTTTATTGCATTTGAAACAAATGACTTTAAAACTTATCTTTTGAAACTTTTTATTAAAGTTCTGCAAAACACTTTTACAAATTACATTGATTATTTAATAAACAAATTTTATTTAAACTATTGAAAAGTAAAATTAAATTATTGAAAAGAAAAAAATAATACTTCAAAGTTGTTTAAACATTTTTTTCAAAAAGTTGCAAAAAAAAAATTGTTTAAAAAAAAATAACGTTGTCTTTTTCAAATTGTTTTTAACAATTTCATTCTTTTATTTAAAGTCAAGTTATATATATATATATATATATATATATATATATATATATATATATATATATATATATATATATATATATATATATATATATATATATATATATATACGAAATTTTGATGCGTTAAGGAAAAGCGCAATCTGAATTAACGTAACTTTATTAAAAAAAGATATTTATGTTGTTAAAAGTTTAATTGCGTCAGTTGCGTATTTTAAAATACCTCATTGTAATTCGATTCAAAAACACAGAAATTATTGTAAGTCTTTTAAATAAAATATCTTTAAATTAAACAATATTGTTATAAAAAGAAGTATAAATTAAATTTAAATGTTGATTAAAAAATAATTTCCTTATTTTAAAATCTTGTACTTATTTACAGTTTAAATTTTAAACTTAATTTTTTTTCTTTAAAACATTCTTTTTACGGTTATTTTTTTTTAATGAGTGGACACTTGTTTATGGTTGATTTTCTTAAAGGGATTTAAGTGTACTTCTACACAGTTAGATTAGGTTTTCCCCTTTTTAAAAAACCTTTGTGTTAAAAGTTTGTCCATAAATTACGCAACATTTAAATTATTAAAAAACAGAAGTAGGAGATTTTGAGCTTTTTTAAGCGGTGATTTTTATTAAACTTGACGTGCTATTTTGATTTTTTAATTAACTTAAGGCTCTGCGAGGGAAAACTTTTGATCTTTTTTGTTTTGTTTATTAGTGAAATTTAATTTAGCCAGTTAGGGATTGTTCGTAATTTACGGACGATCCCTAACTGGCTTTTAAAAATTAAAAATTGTAATTAAACGAAGATTACCACTTTTCAGCTTTGTTTCTTTTTATTTCCATCAAAATATTTTATTTTTATGTACCGAGAAACCTAAAGTATTTTTACTATTTCTTACTAAATCCAAAAAGATTATAAGATGTTATTAGCAGAACTTGTTTTTAACAAATATCAGTATAATTTTAAAATTTACATAACTTATATTTATAGCACCAGAATTAGTTTTGTTTTTAAAACAAAATAAATATAAGTTGGGCTTTCAAAGAGTTTATTTATTGATTGCGTTATTTTTAATTGGTTTAAAATTTGGTTGGTTTTTTAAAATTTTTTTTACTAAATTCATAAAACTTAACGGCAAAAGGAAAACTCAAACAAAACTTGAGTTTTAATGTTGTTTGGGTTTTATATATATATATATATATATATATATATATATATATATATATATATATATATATATATATATATATATATATATATATATATATATATATATATATATATATATATATATATATATATATATGTATATATATGTATATATATATAAAACTGTAAAACTAAGAAAAAAAAAAACAAACTGTAAAACAAACCGATCTGTTCCATCTAAAAACTTGAGTTGAGGAATGAGCTCAAATACTTTGTTTCTGTAATCTTTTTCAGTAGTAACATCACAATTGAATAAGTCTAAACTTTTTAAATATGACAACTTTGCCTAAAAAAATAAACTATATATACATATACATAAAAAATACATACATACATATTATACATTAACACACGCATGCACTAATTATTGTAGGTTTAGGTTAGCACTATTCTAATTTATATATATCTATAATACAGGCCTTGAGATTTTGTTGTGAGAGGCCTGTTATGAAACTTTGTTGCATAATGGAAAAGTCTAGTTAAAAAATTTTGTGAAAATGGAGGATTAAAACCAAATGTTTTATGATCTTGTTTGAAACCAAATATTTTATGACATGTTCGATAAAAATTGATCAAATGATAAAATTTGTAAAAAAAATTGATAAAAAGTGTGATCAAATGCCTTTCCTGATCAGGCATAAAATATTTTGTTTTTGTAACTTGACCACGCAACTAGTTCTGATAACAGGCTTGGTCAGGAATTGGGTGCGACGCACACTCTTCCTGACCACGCACATTTTATCTAGTTGTGACAACATGGCCATGGATTTTTAGATGTTTTGAGAACATTTAAATTTATGTATGTTTCCATGTATGCCAGACACTATTAGACATGCTAAAACAATTAAATTCGTAAATAATCTTTATATTAACAAGGACTTCTAAACTAAGCAATGATATACTTTGTTAATTATTTATAAAAAGAAAATTTTTAATTTTATTTCTTAAATTATATAAGGTTAAGTAAATTTTATTAAAAATTATAAATAATTATACAAATAATATAGATCAGTTTTTTATTCTGCTTCTTCCTCATAAATATTTTTTACCTTTTTAGTTCAACCATTTAAGTTTGCTTAATGATTATTTGATGCAATAAAAAAAAAATAATTGTCTTAAATATAAAAACTTACATTATAATTTGCAAACTACGTTAAGCATGAAATGGTTATAAAAGAATATTGACATTTTTATCTATTATATAATTCAACTACCGTTAGTTTATTAGAATCTTGTTGAAATAAAACATAAATACTTAATTATATTATACGCTTTGATTAATTAAAGAACATTGCTTTCTCAATGATCAACTCAACGATCATCAATACTAAGTTGTTACTTTTTATAAAAGCGTCTTCTAATTTTATAAAAAAAAGTTATAAAAGAGAGAAAAATTTAAAAATAATTTATTCTAAATGTAATTTATTTTGTTTTAGTTGAGTTTTTATTCTTTAAAAATTCATTTCTTTTTTTAGTTGTTTCCTGTCGAGTTAAGCTTTTTTTTGCACTTTTTGAAATGTTCTTAAAGCATCTAAAAAGCTGTGGCCAAGTTGCTGCAACTAAATATTGCATGCTTGGTTAGATATAAAGTGCAATTGCACCTGCTTCTCTACCAAACCTGTGATAACTCTAGGCATTTCAAAATGCGCTGAAAATAAAAAGAAAATTTGTAAGATAAATTATCTAACAAAAAGAAAATCTTAAAGTAAAAATCTAAGCTCAAAAAACTAAAATTTGAAAAGGAAAATATATTTATATTACATTTTTAAAATAAAAAATTACTGTACTATGCAAAATGATTTATAAAATTATTATGTAAATATATTAAATACATAAATTATGTAATTATTAAATATACTATAATAAAAATGTAAACAAAAACACAAAATTATTAAATACATAAATTACTATGTAAATAGATTAAATACATAAATTATCAAGTTTACTTATTATTTTATTAAATAAAGTAACAAATTAATTATGTTTACAATAAACCCATTTTATTTAAATTATCAAAGAATATTATAACTAATTAAATTTATAAAAAAATATGTATTTTTTTTATTAAACTTTTCAAACTAAAAAAAACGTTTGCGCAAATTTTTTTTGATTAAAACTAATTAATAAATGTATACCAAGTAAAACAAGACTTGTTGTTTTAGTGGAAGATCGTCTTCTCCATTTTCTGCGGTATTTTGAGTATGTAAAATATACGCGATTTTCCAGGCGCACTATACAGACTTGATAATTTATTCAAGCTCATTTAATTTATAGGAGTTTTTGTACATGACGTCATTGGAAACATTCTAGAAATTCTTTAAAAATTTTACAATTAAATTTTACTTAAATAGCTAACTTTAGTTAGCTATTTTATTAATTGTTCGTTAGTTTTTTACAAATCTAACTAACAATTAATTAAACCAAGCACTAAGAAAAGATATAAAAATTAAGAATATACTAATAAAATATATAATTTGTAATTAACTTTCAAAATTTTGACAATTTAAAAAATATATATTATAAAACATTTATTTTTGTAAACAAATGATAATAGTTTAAAAGATTTACGACTTTACAGATGTGGCTCCGAGAATGAGACATAATATTAAAGTAATAGTTCATTTGATAATATATTCTTAGAAAAATATGCTAGATATCTCAAAACGCAACAAATCGTAAATAATACAATTCCTAAAACATTTCAACAGAATACTCTAGAACTTTATATAGATATATTTTTAAACCAATAGAATTAGTTTGTTCGCAAATTTGGCGGGTTTTTAGTGTTCGCGAATATTATTTTTATTCTTCCGCAAGATATTTTAAGAACATTCAAGTTAATTATGTTTTCATGTATGTCTGTAAAATAAAAAGTAATATATATTAATTTTTTAATTTTTAAGCCACTGCCATAATATATATTGGATGTTATAACGGAAATATAAATAATGAAATAAGATCACCTCAATACCAAAAACTACATTTTTGAAAATCAGAGAAAAATGCGTTAATGATTTTTTTAATATTTACTAAGTAAATTAATAAAAGTGCATTATTATTTACGTTAAAAAACTTATAACAAAAGAAATCAAAATACACATGGTCTAGATGATTATTTTAAAAAAGTTGCGCAAATAAAATACTATTTTGTTTTTAATTTTTTTACAAATATATTTTAGAACTTTAAAATATAATAAAAATGAATATGATTTGGAAACTGTATGTAAAAAATAACAATCAGTGTTTTAAACAAACAAACAAAAAAATCTATGACGCCATGCACAAAAACTCCTATGAATTAAACGCGCTTGAATAAATTATCAAGTCTGTATAATGCGCCTGGAAAATCGCGTTTATTTTACATACTCAAAATACCAGAGAAAACGAAGAAGACGAGCTTCGACTAAAACAACAAGATTTGTTTTTCTTGGTATACATTTATTAATTAGTTTTAATCAAAAAAAAATTTTCTCTGACGTTTTTTTTAACATTCTCTTTAATACGAACACAGCATATCTCGGGACTTGGTAGTCCCTTTGACTTTTATGATAAATCAGTAGAATAAAATATTTAGCACTTGTCATGCATCAAGCATTTGCAACTTGGTCATTATAAAAATTGCAAACCAAAAACTAATTCATAGAAAGTTCTGAAATCATGTCTAAAAAAAACTCTTTTTCTTTTACTTCTCTAATAACTTACACTGCAAAAATATCTTTTTCAAAAAAGACTTAGACTAGACATACTAATACTTTCCTTAGCATCCTAAAAATATCGCAAGTAGAAAAAAAATAAGATTCCATGATAAAAAGTTCCGTGAATTTTCCATGACTTTCAATGAAAATTTAGGAATTCTATGACTTTTTCCATGACCAAATAAAATTCCATGACATTTCCATGATTTCCATGACCAGTGGCCTCCCTGTATAAGGTTAAAATTTTTATAAAATATACTTAGGCTTAAAGGGGTTTTTAAAGCTTAAATATTTGTTTGAAATTTATAAAAACCATGAGACAAAAAATCAAATAAATACTAAACTATAAATTTAAATTTATAACTAATTGCAACATTTAAATTTTTGTTTTGTATAAAAAATAAAAAGTTCAATAAATAAAGTTTATATACAATACTGAATTTATGAATAATTTTGGAACAACTAAAATGATTAACAAATAAATGCACATAAAATATGGGTTGGAAAGAATGATAGATGTCATTTTTTACTGGACAAACGCCAGACAATGTCTGGCACTTATTTTAAGCCCTGTACATATATATATATATATATATATATATATATATATATATATATATATATATATATATATATATATATATATATATATATATATATATATATATATATATATATATATATATATATATATATATATAGCTTGCCAAGGAAGGCATGTGATTTCACATCATAATATGACTATGTAAATATTATTTGATTATAAAACTTGACCACGACTGTAACTATGTTTGGAAAAATTGTATACATTTTAAAAACGTGCTGAAAAAACCTATCTGAATAAAGCAGATAAATCTTCGCAAAAAAATAACGAAAGATAAAAATAACTTAACTAAAACTAGAATGAAAAAAATTAAATTAAAATTGAAATAAAATAAATAATAAAATATAAAGATAAGATTGTTTAGAATAAATAACTTTGAATCCTTTATCTTTTATGTTTTTATAATATAATACTATGCGAAACACTTTTAAAATCAAGTAAAAACTTACATCTAACGATTGTTTAATAAATGTGAACATATAATAATTACAAAAAAAAATTCTTAAAATATATATATACAGGCCTCACTGAGGCCTGCATATATAACATTATAACATATAACATATTTAACATATATTATACATACATTATAACATATAACATTTAACATAACATATAACATTTTTAACATTAAAGCATGTAAAATGTATTCGAACAATGCCAACCTAAATTTGCAAAACTGTATGTATATATATATATATATATATATATATATATATATATATATAAAAAATAAAAAATGATACATACCAATGGAGATAAACTAGCAATATCTTTTATTTTATTTCCACTAAGACTTAAATGAGTAAGTTGAGGAGTTTTTAACAATAACTCAAGTCCAGATGTTATCCTATTGTCACTTAATTCGAGCTAGAGAAAAAATAATTTATACTAAAAACAAAACTAAAATGAATTTTAGGTTACATGCAGTATAAAAAAGTTTTAAAAAGTGAGTATGTGTATGTATTATACATACAAGCATAATATACACAAATGTGTATGTCAGTAGTCTGGACAACCAGACATTTTGTTATTGACAAAATAAGGTTTATTTATAAAACCATATTTTGAACTATCAAGATTTAATTCCTTGTTATTTAATTTTTTAAATTTTACAAAATGTAATAAAAGAAACTGACTTAATTAAATTAGATATGCATGCAATTTAAAATGTTTTAAAGTGCGACTGTTTTTTAAAATGTTGCGGTTGTGTTTTAAGGTTTTCTTTTTAATTCTAAATGCAAATGTATCAAAAAAAAGTTTTATCACTACAGTGCATTTTCAACCACATTTTTTTCTCAATTCAAAATGAGATTCAATATAAAATTTTCTTTTAATTCAAAATGCATCATTTTTTTAAACGTATTAGTCACATTTTGAATTACATATATGGGCATGTGAATCATTAATAACGTTGAACCTTTTATTTTTCACTGGTATGATTTTTATTTAAACTTTGTCAAACAAAATTAACAAAATAAAAAACATTAATGATACAGTAAATTAAATTACTTTAAAAACATATTCACTCACATCAAACACATCAAACACATTCAACTGATTTAAATTTGATTGAAGATTGAGCAAGAATAACACAAAATGTTTTTTAAAAAAACTTCTTTTAGTTTAAGCATTTAGCTTTTATGCTCCACGTTTTTTTCTAATCTTCACTTTTTTATGTATTTATAATATATTTTAATATAAACAATTCTTATTTGCTATATTAAGCAGTCACTTTACTTTTTTTCTTTAGTTTTTTTAACTAAGAGAAAAAAACAACAACAAAAAAAAACAACTAATTAACAATACCAGACTGATTATCATAACTGCTCAAGTAAGACATACAATGTTTTAGTCTTATTTTTACAAAAAAAAAAAAAAAAAAAAAAAAAAACCTGCAATTACAAAGAGTTTTACATCATTTTACAGGACCGAGTTATGCAATCGAAATCTTTGTCATGTTATTTAGTTTATTTAACGTTAGACTAGTGAAGTTGTAGTTTCTTTCCTTATTTTAAAAATTTTATTGCAGAATTTTGCAAATTTTATATGTAAATATCATTTTTGTTAAAAAAACATTTTTTTGGGTGATTCAAAATAACAATGATAAATAATAATCTTTTTTAGAAAAAAGTAAACTTTCACTTTTTCTTAGTGAGTGATTCAGATATTAGTTTAATTAAATATTACTAAATAAAATTATTGTCGATTGTAGGGCTCAATTTAATTTTTTATTAAGTCCTGGACAAATTGCCCAATCAAAACTTGTTTGGGTCAGACAGTGTCCAATCAAAATTTTAAAATATAATTTTTATGATTTTACAGAACCGAGTTATGCAACCGAAATCTTTGTCGTGTTATTCAGTTTATTTAACGTTAGACTAGTGAAGTTATAGTTTCTTTCCTTATTATTTAAAATATTTCATTGCAGAATTTTGCATATTTTAAAATAAAATTTTTCAATGTTTTTATAAACACCTTTTTTTTTTTTACAACTTGATAACAGTTGTTTCAATGTTTTAATTTAAATGCAATTTTAAAAAATTGTTACGTTACAAATAACTTTTAATCCATGATCTTTTTTAAAGTTCTTATTTTACCCGAAGGCTTGAAATAAAATCAAAACTTTATTATAATGATCGCCTAAAATGAATGGTGGTGGATTGTGTAAATTAATTTAATAATTAATTTTTTTTAAGTAGGTATTTTTTATGATCAATTTAAACATTTGAAGTATTTGCAATGTCTTTCTAAAAATCTTTTAAAAGATTCCTTTGTTTAAGTTACCTTAAATTATGATTAAGTTAGATTAAATGTTCCCATGATTTAATTGCTTCTATTTTTACAAAGAAATGTTTAAAAGTTTTTTTGTTTTTTTTTGCTTTTATTTTTACAAAGAAATTTTTGCTTCTATTTTTACGAAGAAATGCTTAAAAGTTTTTTTTAAACTTGCCTTGTCAAAGCATGTAATGATTTTATTTTTGAAAAAATTTATTGTTAAAAATTACTATTTTAAAAAGACTACATTTTTTAAACAATTATTTTTTTTGCAACTTTAAAAAAAAAATGTTTAGACAACTTGAAAATATTTTTTTTCTTTTCAATAATTTAAATAAAATTTGTTTATTTATTAAACAATCAATAGAAGTAATTTGTAGAAGCATTTTAAAAGATGAGTTTTAAAAATTAATTTTAAACGCAATTAAAAACGTAACAAAAAGTAATTTTAATTTTATATATAAATATAAATATAAATATAAATATATATATATATATATATATATATATATATATATATATATATATATATATATATATATATATTTATATATCAAGGGCTTTTATAGAAAAAAAAATTTGGACTGTGGACCCGGACCACTATGTGTCATATAGATACTTTCCTAAAAATATACAAAATTTGCAAAAACAAAAACAAGTTTTGCCATAAAAATGCTTTCAAAAACAGTCCAAAGAATAGCTTCTCAACACACACACACACAGGTTTATGAATACAGCCATCAGGAATAAAACAAGGGGAAGGAGTGACAAATCCTTTTAAAACTTTGCGCTGCTTTCTAAACAAATAAAAAAACTCCTCCAAACTTAAAATCACCTGTCTGACTATATTTCTATAAAACTGGACTACAGCTCGAAAATCACTTTCTATAGGAGAGGATGGGTGATAATTCCCCCTGTATATAACCTTTATTGAACAACAAAAATTGTTTAATACCTTTCTTAGTAAAGGTAAAGACGGCAATCCTTTCAAAGAGGTTAATCCTACATTTATAAGGGAAAGTACTTCTAAATTGCAATATTCTTCTGTAAGTCCTATTATTGATGTTGAGCGGCAATTGTCAAGAATAAGCTCTATTACCTAAATAAAAAAAACATAACTAATACTGCTACCATTTTATACAAATGCACAATTGCTAGTTGTTATGCAATGATTACTTTATAAATATTTAATAAAAAAATTAGGTTTGATTAATGTAATTACACAAAATTATAAATAAGTTAAAACATATAAAAATAATTTTCTTATTGATAAAAAAATATTGATAGAATTACACAGGTCAACAAAGAATTTTTCAAATTTCAGAGATAATTTTGTGTTGCCTGGATATAAAATGTCAGATTTTGTTTGTTGTTTGCTAATATTTAAAACTGCATCTGATTTTTTGTAGCACGTACAGTTTTCGTAAAAATTATATTATTATACGACTTTTGTCTTATAATATTAACTGTAGTATTATTTTTTATAAGTTTTTATAATAAAAGAATATATGTAAATGATGTGTAAAATGATATGTAATGATACTTATTGCTTTGTATATAATAACCTGTAGTATTATTTACAGTTTTTATAATAAAAGAATATATCTAAATACACAGATTTACTATTATTTTATAGACAAAGTACTACTTTTTTCAACATTTATCTTATGTATTTTATAGATCAATGTGTTTATTTTTATTTCAAATTGTTATTGTATGTCTTACAACAAGTATACTTTCAACCTGGCATCTTTGAGAACAGCTAATTACATTCTGCCAGTAGCTAGAATCGTGTCAAGTGTAATGCTATTTTTTACTTACTTAACCCTTAAACCATTAAGACCGTCTACAGACGGTCATCACTAAATGTAATGCTATTCAAATTAAATAAAAAATCGATTTTAACCACTAAGGCCATTTTTAGTCTGTAAAATTTGCTACAAATGACAACAAGTTTGAACACGTTCTGGCGCGTAGTTTGATTATTTTGGTTATTCTTGTTGAGAATTTCTAGTAAACAGCCGTCAAAATTATTTGTGATTGCAGTACAAATTCAAATTATAAAAATAATATATTCAAACAGCTCAATTGACTTGAGATTTTTTGTGGTAAGTTGTTCAACCTTATATTTTAATAATATGTTTTTTGTTTGATAAATAAAAAGTTTTTTTTTATTTAAAACGAGTACTTTATGAACACCTTCTACAGACGGTGTTAGTGGTTTGACTATAAAAATTTCCTCTTATTTTACCTACATATATTTATATTTTATTTTAATTTTTTTTGTACTTTTTTTCCATATTTTTGATTTTAGAAAATGCCACAACAAAATAATGGAAAGAAAAAGTTAAATCTCTCTGCAATGAGTGATGAAGAAATTGAAGAAATTTTATGAACTCAGCTGAAACTGATGATGAATGTGAAGATTTTGACCTCAGTTTTGAAGATCCAGATTATCATTGCGATGAGCTTCAACCTGAACCTAATACAACAATAAACAGTAATTTCCAACTACTGGATTTTGACAACAGATTCAAAGATCCAGATTATCAGTGTGATGAGCTTCAACCTGAACATAGTACCATTATAAATAGCTGTTTGCAACTAATGGATTCCTCATGGCTTACAAAGGCACTTCATTTTTCAATGAATGTTATCAATTTTAATTTGAGTGAAATTGATGAACCAAAACAAACTGTAACTTTAAACAAAGATATAAGTATAACACTGCAAAATGAAGATGCTAATCCAGCACTTCACGAACTACAAACAAAAGCTACTATGTCAACACCACAGAGTGAAGTTGCGATAAAAACGTCATTCAAACCAAAGAAATGAGCTCGATCACCATTACCATGTGTAGAGTTTTCAGGACCACCTGTAACACCATCAGCTGGTGGGTTCATAGGAGCTAGCTTGGTAGATATTCACAAAAACTCAGATGAGTTCAAACAAATCGTTTGGTGTAAAAAGTGTATGCAATTACACGTCAATGAAGTAGCATTTAGAGGAAGTACAGACCTACCACCTGTAGTAAAAAAACTGCAATCACCATTGGATTTTTTTAACTATTTTTTTACAGACGATCTGGTAGAATTGATTAGTTTGGAAACGCATCGAGCTGCAATTCCAAAAAGCTTGAACACAAAGTTCAAAATTGACAAATATGGGATTCGTCGATACATTGGAGTTTTGATTTTTATGTCAGTTTACCGTTACCCAAACATTGAAGATTATTGGAGTGAATTCGGATTTCGACACATACCAGAGAGTATGCCAAAAAACAGATTTGAGCAGATAAAAAAATATTTATTGTTCAACGATGAATCAAAACGAGTCAAAAAAGGTGATATAGGATATGACCCAATTTTTCAGATCAGAAAAGTTGCAACACATTTGCTTGAGCGCTTTGATTCAATTCCAAAAAATGCTCAATTATCAATTGACGAACAAATGTGTTCCACAAAAATGGTTCACCATTTACGGCATTTAATGGATACTCATACCGTTTTGAAATATATACCGCAGCCAAAAATGATGACATAGTTCTGCCTTTTACTCCAAACATTGGAGCAACAGGGAATGTTGTTATTAGGTTGTCGCAAACAATACCAAATTTTGTTAATCATATATTGTATTTCGACAATTTCTACACATCTCTGCCAGTTATGGTGTATCTAAGAGCACGTGGCATTTATGCTCTTGGCACTGTGAGAGCAAATCGTATTCCCAAGTGCAAACTTCCTGATGACAAAAATGAAGAACTGAAAAAAGCTCCACGAGGTTATTCAATAGAATTTGTTGGATCGGCTTATGGTGTTGACATCACCACAGTTTTGTGGAAGGATACGAAGAATGTCAGACTGTGCTCAACTTATGTTGGTACTAAGCCCTTCCAAAGAAATAATACATCAAGTCAATTATCAAAAGTAGCTCGATACAATAAAAAAAAAAGTTCATATGATGAAATTGATTGTCCACAAATTATCAGAGAGTACAACACACATATGGGTGGTGTCGATTTAATGGACTCTTATTTGGGTCGCAATGGACTCAAAATTAAAACTCAGGACATGGCAACCAGGATCTTCTATCATTTTCTGGACATGACTGTAACAAATGCGTTCATTTTGTATAGAAGACTTAATGCTGAAAATAATAAAACTGCGGATAGTGATGATAAAATAAAAGACATGACCATGAAGGAATTTCGCGTAAGCATTGCTAAAGAACTCTGTGTTTCTCTTGAAAAACGTTCAGTTGGCCGTCCATCTGCTACACAACCAACTAACAGCAATTATGTCGGTAGAAAAGCAGCTCATCCAGTAGCAAGTGTAAGATTCGATGAAATGAATCATTTTCCTGAATGGGGATCAAAAAAATCGTGCAAATTTTGCAAAAAATCTGACACACACACATTTTGCACTAAATGTAATATCCACTTGTGCTTTTCCAAAGCAAAGAATTGTTTTAAAGACTATCATCAAAATGAATAATACTCTTTTTTTATGTTTTGAGTATGAAAATTGAATAAAAACATTTGTTTTACATAAATTATGCATGTATTTAGTTTTATTTTTTTTTTCCAGCCTAACCCACTAAGACAACTAGAGACAGTCTTCCATTTTTTTCTCCTGGCACTCTCAGATGAAGATTATATAAAAAATGGACTTCGTATTCATGTTTGTCAGGATAAAATTATGCTAAAACCAAAATTATCATGACAAGATTCAAGTTAATTCTATTTCAGTGGTTTAAGGGTTAAAAGTGTTACTTCATTTTAAACCCATTGCTTTGATCAATCAGCATGTCTCAAGAATTTAAGAATCACCCTGACAAGTTCTGTTATGGCAATTGTGACAATTTCAAAAATAACTTTTTATGGCAAATGTGGCAATTTAACAACTAAACTAAAATGAGGAAATATTTGTATATACAAAAAATTATCTTTACTTTAGTTACCACCAAGGTGATCAAGATAAACCATTAGCGTCACATCAATGGGCGTCATATCTGCTCCCTTGTTCAAACAGATTATGTGATTAGATAAACAAAAATCGTCAATGCCATTTACCATTTATTTAAAGATCATCATGATTGTTATTTTTGTAGTGTCAACATGACAGGGGTTTATGCAAAGTACAAACACAATGTTGCTTATCCAGTAATGGATTCAGCACGCAGGCCAGTGAAACATTGTGAAGAACTTTTAATTCCAATTAACCCATTTCAATTCTCTAGACGATGGTATACATTCCATTAAAATGAAGTGAATAACATATGATGATTACACATTGGAAGATGATTACACATTGGAAGAAAAAATTAATGACCTTGTTAGAGACCTTTCACTGTCTAAAGAGAATGCAGAGCTTCTCATCTTGAGACTACAGGAGAAAAATTTATTTAACAAAAATTTTTGTATCAGTTACTACTAAAAGTGGAATATTATTGGAGATCTTAAAGTTATAGGTATGTTAATGGGTATGCAAGCAGGATTTACACAATATTGTTGTTTTATTTGCCTGTGAGACAGTTGTACCATAACAAAACACTACAGCGAACATGACTGGGCATTAAAGTCTACATATATCCCAGGAGCAAGCAGTGTCCAGTATGACCTTCAGCTGATCTGCAAAAGATTTTCCTACCACCTCTCCACATTAAACTTGGTTTAATAATTTATTAAACCAAGTTTAATCGGGGAGCTTATATAAGATACTTAAATTGAAAATATCCTCAGCCCAACGGAACTTGAAGCTTGGCTGACATTCAAAAAGATTTCTGAACAAAATTTAAAAATTAAAAAAAAGTAACAATTTTGTCAAAAAATAAATAAATAAATAAAGTAATACTTTACTGTTTTTATTTTCTGTTTTAGGGTGTTTGTTACTTACCACTACCAAATTTGAAAAAGGAAAAAGCAGACACAGGCCTTGCGATAAAGCGTCGGGCGATGTGAATTTTACGTCGTCCAAGAGCGATTTTGTGTGTAGCTAGGGCTAGGGCTAAATTTTTTGTTTGAGTATATTTAAAGATATTTTTGAGCAGAATTTTAATGAAGTAATTTACGATTATTTTAACATTTAATAAAGTATTTTAAAAACCGCACGCAGTAAATACAAAAGTTTGATTTACAAAAAAATTAAATATGCTCATTATTTACAAGTAGAAAAAATTCAGATAAAAAAAAAAGTTTTAATCTTTTTAAGGTAACATTTTAATAAAATTATTCAGCAATAGCAAAGTTGTCGATAAAACTGAACAAAAATACTTTCTTTTAGTTTTAGATATTTAACTTAAATAATTATTTTACGGGGGTTTGTTAGGTTTTAAATTATTCCATAGATTTAAAAATATTTATTAACTGTTAGAGGTATTTAAAGTATTTAAGAGTAATTTCGAGGAAACATTTTTAAAATTGGTAAGCGCAAATAAAAAAAGATAAAAGGAATAATATTAAAACGTATTCTACTTGATTCAATAAAAAAAAGTACAGCTATTAAAATTTTCGTAAAAAGTAACTCGAAAAAAATTACTTATAACAATCGCTTTTTTGTTAAAAGTTACCGAAACTCAACAAAGCGTGCTCAAGATCAGCTGCTGAAAAATAGAACGTCAATAGTTTTTCGAATAATTTTTAAGAATAATTTTTTCGCTGAAATATGTCTTTTATACCTATAAGATTTTTATTCTAACATTTTATTTTATTTTATTTTACCAAAAATAAAATTCCTTGTTAACATTAAAAATCTATACAAATGCAGTTATTGGCATTTTGAGAAACATCCAACTTAAAATATACAAATAGTTATCAGAACCTATTGTAATCTCTTTGTGTCATAATCTCTATATGTTATAAAACAATGACAAACAAATTTTAGAAAAATCTAACATAACACTATTTAAATAACTCAAGTAGTCAATTATTATACTCCATAACTTGATTGATTGACATAACAATTATTATATTCACAAACTTTGTAATTTTCAAAAAATCATTTTTTTACATTTAGTAGTCTAAATTTTAACTTCAAAATGTTGCATCGCTAGTTTCTATAAAAGTTTAAATGACTTTTATTTTCTATAAAAGAGTTTCTATAAAAATTTAAATGACTTTTATTTAGTGATATATCAATATTAGGGCGATTCCATGAGCAAACGTTCAGGTTATGCAACAATATTAACAAGTCTCAGATTTTGAGGATATTTACACCACTTAAAGATTAAATGATAAAATTTTGGTAATGTTCATAACTTTTATGAACATCACCAAAATTTTATCATCTAATTCCAAATGGTTTCAAATCTATAACTATTCAAACTTAGCCTTGAACCAATAAAAACATGACATAAAACCAATAAAAAGCCTTGAACCAATAAAAACATGACATCTAAAAAATGGTTTTGGCCATCGTTTCTGCTCTGTGTGCAATGGAAAGCTTAAAATGTGTACACTTACATAATTTGAGACCAGGAATCCAATAAAACAACAAAAAATATTTGAAATTAAACATCACACCTTTAATTTTGCCCCTCATGGCAATTTTACTGGGACAATTTTAATTTGAAATTTGCAATTTGCCCCTTATTGCAATTTTATTGGGACAATTTTAATTTGATAAATGTTGATGTGGCTTGATTTTTTTATTAGTTTTTTTAAATGTCTTTTTTAATAGTTTAAAGATATTACAAAGTCTTTTTTTTAAACCTCCCTATGTTTGTTAAATTTTACAAATCTCAAAAAAAATTTCAGTTCTTATTTCTAATTTTTGAGGCTGGTTTAGGTCTTAAAAATTAAAAAATATAAACTTACTTATAGAAAAAAAAACTCCCACTCACCTGTTTGCTAAGACTACCCCCCTCCCTCCTTCTTTTCTCATCTTTCCCTTCCCCTCCCTCAATTTATTACATTTAGATAAAAATTCCTATCCATCCTTTTATTCCCACCTCACATTGTGTTAAACAATTAAGAGTAACTTGACAGTAATGAAACTGAAACAGCTTTGACCATATTAAATTGTTCCTTAAGTTGTTACTGACTTGCTTTTTCTGTTTTCTTGGTAACTTTATAAAATCTGATCCTAACTTTTGAAAATTTATTAATATTTTACTGTGGGTGAGTTGAATTATAAAAAAGCAGATATATATGGAAATTTTAAATAAAGGAAGAGAAATGATTATAAAACATACTGGTCAAAATCAAATCAAACAAAATCAAATCATAAAAATCAAACAAAATTTGGCCTAATAAACTTGTAGAACTCTTTCAATCAATAGACAAATCAAGTTTTTGCTCAGATGTAATAAATGAGGGGAGATAGGAAAGGGAGGGGTTGTTAATAAAGAGGACGGAAGAAATTTTTATTTCAATAAATGAGTTTATTTTTTCTAACTTTTATGACCTGAATGGTCTCAGAAATGAGAAAATAATAAATAAAATTTTTTTTTAGTTTAAAGATACAGTTTCTTTGTTCATAACAACTAAAATCAGGGATGCAGATTCCTAAAAGGACTTCAGCTTTTTATCTCTAGTGTCCAGAAGCTCTAAACATGTTGGTTGACTTATGATCTGCAAAAAAAAAAAAAAAAAAAAAAAAAAAAAAAATCATAAGATTTAATGACTTGGAACTTGTTTTCAAGCATAGAGTGCTTGACGACATTATCCTAAGGACAGGTTTAAAACTAAAAGTTTTAACTTCCCATTAGTAGTCCATAAGCTTTTTTATATTTTTAGCATTTCATTGCACACAGAACAGAAACAGTGACAAAAATGGCAGATTTTTATTGGTTCAAGGAAAAGTTTGAATAGTCATATCTTTAAACCGTTTGGAATTATATGATAAATTTTCGGAATGTTTATAACTTATTAAAATATTTAAGTGGTGTAAAAATCAGCAAAATATGATACTTAGGGTTGCATTTTATTAAAAAAATTCATATGGAATTGCCCATTAATGTTAATGAAAACTGTAAAAACTAAAAACAGATGTACAACATAAGACATACAATTAAGTAATGATTATGGTTCTACACTTGTGTGATAAAAACTGGTTTCCATTATACTGTTTTCTTATTTAAAGAAAACTATAGAAGAGACACTATAGGAAGAGTAGAAGCAATGCTTCACAGAAGCAATGTAGAAGCAATGCTTCACAGAGAGATGTCTGTTTTGAAAACTAATACTTTTATTATGATACTTCTAGGAAAATTACTATTCAACGCTTAGAAACTTTTATCTAGATAAATCGTAGTTCTTTTAACTGCTATTTATTTTGAAACTATGCAACAATACACTTAGCACGCTCTTAATATAAACATATTTAGGTTTATAAATACAAATTTCATAGACATTTTTGAATGCTAAAAAACGCAAGTGTTTTTTTATAATAAAAGGTGAAGTTTAATTTCTTAAACTTATAAAAAAAAATAATAGCAATGACTACATCAGGTACACATATTTATACAGTGACCTACTATGACTAAGTTGTTATTATCAGATCCTGAGTTTTTTTTTTTTTTTTTTTTTTTTTTTGTAGCAATTTTGAAGCAACCATGTGATAACAGTTCAATAGTAGCTCTATATACTAGTTACAAACTGCAAATATAATTACTTTATCTGGATCTGTTTAGCAATGAAAGATTATATTTATTGAAAATTAAAAGATAAACGCATGCTTTAATAATTATTATATAATGGAAAATATGAATATTTTAGTAAGCAACCTTGCATACAGATTTAACTGTTAACTACCTACTATACTTTTTAACTACAATATTTGGTATGCAATCTATAAACTACCTCGCTTTTTTCTAATCCGCGTCTTTCCAATTCGATTCTTTTTTCCATTTCAGCAACAATTTATGCTCCACTTGAAATCTCACAATTTGACTTCAAGATTATTAACTCAGCAGCAATTTCAGCGACTTCAGAGGAAAATAGAACTGCACTATAAGAAAACCAACTTGGCCTTAAAACAAGAACAATTAAAACTGCATAAGCTTTTGTAATAAAAATACCATCGTAAACAAAAATTGTTCTAAATAATATTTATATTTTAAATATCAAATTTTAGATAAATAATTTGCATGAAATAAAAAAAATAAAACAATTTTATTAAAAAAGCTACACAATAGTTATATCGTTTGATTGCCAACTAAAACAGACCTATGGCGGGCACGAATGAGTAGCGAACGCTTGGTTTGCATTTTGAACATTTTTCGTAAATTTTAAAACACCACGTGATTTAATATTTAGATTTACACGTGATCTGTCTTATAATGCTATCGTTTGTCAAAAATTTGTGCTTCTTCACATTTAAAAAATATTTAAAGACAAATAAAAAGAATACTTTGAAACTTTCAAACATGAAAGTCTTCTCTAGTTTTTATTATTTAAATGTGTGGCTCTACTCCATTTTCGATGGATTAACAATTTTTTTAAAAAGGATATTTTTGTATACGATTTATTTTATAATCAAATGATGAGATTCTTTTAAATGTTTTAAAACAACGTTTTTCGTCGTGTTTATGTCTATAAACATTAAAAAAATAATATTTTTTTCTTAAAACTATAAGTACAAATAAGTCTTTTTATTTTACATAAAATATTTTTTTGACATATTTTTCTTTTCTTATCTTCATAAAATGTAAAACATTTTGCGCGTGCTTTCCAAAGCCGAAATCTTCAAAAGAAAAAATATGCCTAAAGATGGTGTCTGTTTTTTTGATTCTGGTTAGTCTTGTTTCAAAGTTTAATGGTAAACTTTTTAAAAAACACTATTTTTCTTACTTTTGAAAATATCAATTTTATACTTTATTGTTTTGAATTAAAGAGAAAGTGGGACGAATTTATAACTGAAATCTTAAATACCTAAACCGCCAGGGTTAGGGTTAAGGTTTTCATAAAGTGTTTGCAAATGGGGCTGTCCATAAATTATCAACAAAATAGGGGAGGGGGTCTGAATTTTTTTGACGTATGTTGACTGGGGGCAGGGGGGAGGTCAAGACAAGTTGACGTCAAACAATGTTACTTTTTTTCATAAATTTAATTACTTTAAAAAAGGCTAATTAAGCAGCGTTTGTAGTCCTGTGTTGCATACTCGCTACACCTTTAGTATTTTAATAAAGCTATTTATTATTTATTACTTTTTAAAAACCATGTTGTGCTTTAAAAAGACCTGACACGTACAGAACTAAATAACCATACACAAAATGTTTACTCGTAACACTATTATTTTTTCAAAGTTGTTTTTGGTTTTATTCACTTTGTTTTCAGAGCAAGCATTTGTAATTTTAAATGGTTCTCTAAATAGCTTACTCTTAATCTCTTTTTTGTTTTAGTTGAAAACTATTCTGTTCAAAATATGACTGTTGTTTTTTTTCCATTTGAGTTTTTTTTTTTTTTTGGAAGGGGTATTTGAATATTGACGTAATTTTTTAGGGGGTTCTTTAGGAGTTTTACAACTTGTTGACAAGGGGAGGGAGAGGTAAAAAATGTCGGAAAATTGTTGACGTAATTAATGGACAGCCCTAATGAGGACTAATATTTTTTTTTTTTTTTTTTTTTTTTTTTTTTTATAATTTAGCCGTACAAATATTTACAAGTTCCGTAATTTAAAATATTTAAAAATGGCAAGGACGAGAAGAAGACGGGGTTGTCTTATCACCAAGTCCCTTGTTTGTCTAGACATTTATATAAATACATGGTAACTAAAATGAAAATTAAAAAATTAAGAAAAAAGCAAAAAGTTACAAAGAAGTTTATATAAAATGCCAAATAGTTTAATAGTTCAAAGTTTTGAAAGATATTTTTTCGATTTTATTTTTTGAAAGAAAAATTTAAAAGTTCATTCAGAAAAACAAAAATATCAAAAAACAAAAAAACATGAAAAAAGTAAACGTAAAATTTAATTTACAATCTGCTCTTATAAAGTGTAATATATTAATTCCTCAAAAACAAATTACAAAATATTAATATAAAAAATTAAAACTCAAAAAAGATTACTTTTTTTATTTTTCCTCTCTCTTATTTAAGAAAACTAATAAATTTATTTAAACTAATGAAATCTAAAAATGCTAAAAATCTTTATAAGTACTTTTTTTATAATATAACAGACTGTAATACCTATATAAAATAAAAGAATTTAGACCTTCCAGACAAATAAAGTATGCATTAGTAGATAGTTTTAATATATAATATTTTTATAGATAGATTTAAAAATAATTATCTGTTTGTTCATTATTTAAAAGTAATAGTTTTAGTTTTTGTTTAAACTGATCAAGAGTTTTGAGTGTTTTAATATCATTACTGATTATCTTATTCCATGCATTAGGTCCTCTAACAGTTATTGCAAACTTGGTGGAGTCATTTTAGATGATATAAATGTATGTGTGTGTCAAATAAAAATTGACTCAACAAGTTTATTTGAGAAAACTTCATTTAAGAAAAATTGTTCAAAAAACTGATTATGTCAATAGTTTTTGGCAAAAGTTAAAAGCGTTTCTCTATAAAAGTAAAAGTAACTCATTTAACTCCGAAAGTACGTATTTGTTCAACTCTTTTGTATGTTGTCCAAACAAACATTTTATAAAACATCGACAACTATTTTTCTAAGCTTATACCTGATTTTGGTTTATAGCTAGGTATACATTATCAGAAGTCTGGTCATTCGTATTTACTAATTGTTTATTTAATACCAAAAAATTGTCAATAGGACAAGATTCTGACAATTTTTCTATATTCATGTTGTTTAGTAGTATGTGGTATGTTTTGTATTTAAAGTCAACCTGGGACTGCTTTTGTTATCATAATTTGTAAAATCACATTGTTGATGACAAAATCAGTTTTAGATTTTCCACTGGTACCAAAAGAAATGTATCTAGAAAATCTGTGAAAATGTTTGTAGCATAAAAACTTTGTATTCCTCAATATTTTCCTATAATTATTATTTTTTTCACAATGAAACTATTTTGCAGCTTTTTTAAAGAACTCTTTGCTTTGAGATTGAGAATTTTAAATTCATTTCATCGGAGTGTTACTTAAGATGTTTGACCATTTCCTTTTTGTTTATCGGTTTACTATCCTACTTCTAGAAATCAGGTGTGCCATTGATTAATCTGTAACCACTTTCTGCCAAAAAGCCGTTTCCTAAATACAATTTACTTTTATTGATGTTTTTCTAATCAGCACAGTTTAAATCGTTGATTTGATTTATATATTTATATTTTGAAGTATGATAGTTGTTATTTTAAAATAAATATATGTAGCAATTTTAAAATAAAATTATTTGTGCTTCTTTAAAATAAAATTATTTGTAGCAGGTATTTGTAGTATTTTTTTAAAAGTCGTAGAACATGTTTTGAAGTAGAATTAGAAGTATCCATAGTGTCTGTGGAATGTGCATTTTATAAAACTTTTTACATGATCTAATATTGTTATGCAAATAAAAATCAGTCATGAAATCTACTTAATCTGATTGCATTCTTTTTTTAATAATAATGAAAAACAATTTTTTCTTGAAAATTTTATATAATTTTACACTTTACATTTTGTGTAACTTTATCATAAATTTTTGAATGCCAGCATTCAGTAATCAGTAATTTTTCTATAGAAACGTGGGGAAACATAGTCTGGATGTGAAGCTGCTATCTTAGACCAAAATTAAGACCAATTAAAAAACACACAATACATCAAAAGTCTATTTTTTTCAAAGAACTTATGAAAATATTTATATAATTATTTCGTAATGAAAGAAAAGGAAAAGTACTTTTAAATTAATACTCAATTTAAATATAACTTTTGATAAAGAAACCAAAAATATAGAAAACAACGTTTACTAGTTAACAAAAGAATTTCGAATACGAAAAAAAATTTGAACTATTTTAATACTCAATAAAAATCATCAAATAAAAAAAAGTAAAAAATGAAAAAGAGAAGTAAAAATTATCTATTAAAAAAGAAAGAATTCGATTAAATATAATTTTTATTTAACTTAATTTTGTTGTAAAAAATTTTTATTTAATTCTTTTAATTTATTTCTATTACACATATTATAGATATATTATGGCTAAATATATTACTATTAGGGTAGGGTGGGGCAAGATGCCCCCCTTAACAAACTTTATCGTATATAATAAATACTTTTACATTTTCTTGTGTTTTTTCTTTTTAATATTAAAGTTTACTTATAAGAGAAGACATTGGTAAGATAAAATAACTACTTTGTTACTGTTGATAAACTTTAAAATCAAAAAAAAAAAAACTTGTGCCAGAAGACATCTTGCCCCAGTGGTGGGGCAAGATGTTCTATGGATTTAAAGAAAAAAAGCTTTTCACGCGTTATTCCCCAAACCATTAAAACAGTTGTTAAAAATATCTTAAAGTTCTTAAAAATAAAAGCCCTTATTAGTTTTTTTTATTTACTCTTTACATTTTATTAAAACAACTGAAATATTAACACTGCAAATAAATACCATGCAATTATTCTATACAATTGTCTTGAAGATAAATAACTTCTTTTTTAATTATTAGCAATAAATAACTAAAATAAATGTCCTAATAACAATGTATATACATAACTATAATTCACAGTAGTAGCATAAGTCTGAATCATCTGGACCACACGAAGAGTGGTACCAAGATGTACATTTAGTACATTGTGTCCAATCATCAAATGGGGGCACATTATAAGCACAAGAGCATATGATGCATAAAGTAGTAACAGTAATAAAACATTGGGAGGCTTTCTGCTCTTTAGACTTCTTTGGTTTTTTTGTCCTCAAATTTATTGATTTCTTTTTTTGCTTGATTACCTTATTAAGTGCAGCTTTTTCTTTACGCAATATTGCTTCTTGTTGCTTTTCTTTTACATCGTTTTCATGTTCTTCTAATCTCTTCTTAAAAGGCGAAGGAGTAAGATTTTCAGCTGATTCTGTCTTTCTTTTACGCTGTCTTAATACAGTAATTTTAGGACGCGGGGAAATCTTTTCCAAAATATTAGGGGCGGATTTAAGGTCAAGATGCTCATCAACAACTGGCAAAACTGCACCATTTGATTGTGCTGGTTCTTTCGTAACAGTCTTCATTTTTGAGGCAACAGTTGCTGTGCTTATAACATCTGGCAACTGTATAGGTGCAACAAGAGGTATACTAGGCAAATCACTTGATTGCTGACAGCTTTCCAATGGTATAGCTTCATCAGTGAGCAAAGCTGCATCAAAGGCTTCATTGTTAAAAATAAGCTCATTTATTGGGTATAAACCAGAGCATCTAAATTCATTGATTGCTTTGTCAATGTTTGCAGTAAAGTTATAGCCAGTTGTAAAAATATCTGTCATGTCAAAAAATGAAATTCTACGCACCTGATGCAATAACATCCAGTTGCTTGCTGCAGTATTGTAACCAACTTTCAATGGTTTGAAAAATGTACGGTCTAAAGGTTGCATTTTGTGTGTACAATGAGGTGGAAGAGTTATGAGGTGAATCCCATTGTTGCGACAAAAGTTAATGGCTTCAAGTGTTTTGTGACTATGATGACCATCGAGTACAATTAATTGCTCATTATTTTTAGATGCATGAGTCACAGTAACAAAATGTGTTAACCATTCGATGAATAAAGATAAATCTGTCCATCCACTGGAGCTAACTCTAACAATTGACCCTGAAGGTGCACCAAAAGCCAGCCTATCAGTCATTCGCTTACGGGGAAATATAAATAATAGTGGGACATAAACACCACTTGCACTCATTGCACACACGACAGTCACAGTAGCCCCTCTTTCTCCACTAGTTATTTTTGAAACTTGTCGTTTTCCCTTTGTTGCAATTATTTTTCCTGGCTTATGGACATTTGTTATTCCAGTTTCATCCATATTCCAGAGCTGTTTGGCTGAAAACTTATGTTCCTCAAATAATGACTTGTATACTGAAAAAAACTGATTTAACTTTGGTTTATTGAAGCCAACAGTTCTGCTTACACTGGTGGCTTGTGGGGTTCGAATAAAAAGTTGTGGGTTGAGAGACATAAATCCTTGCAGCCAATCCTTTCCTGCCATTTTTGATTCATTATTAAAAGGATTTTCAATTCCCATTTGTTTAGCAAAATCGTATGCTAGGCGACGTATATCTATTGTTGTCAAGCCAAATAATGCTCTTTCCATAATCTGAACTTGTGTTACAATGTTTAGTTCAAAATCTTTACTAAATACAGGAGATTTTCCACCCAGAGATAAACCACCAACTACCTTTACTTTTCCATCTTGATGACGTTGTAATGTTTTTTTGTTAATACTAAATTCTGATGCAACATTTTTCAGACTGCAGCCCATCTCCATAGCTTCTAACGCTGACTTTATCCTATCATTAGTTGCACCTCTCTGTGTTTTTCGCACATAATTTCTCACCATTATTTAAATTGTTAAAATATGTTTCTAAATAAAAATTTTAAAATTAAATTATATAAACATATAAACACATGCAAAGTATTATATAATTATTTAATATACTATTGTTTCAAACATTACCTTACATTCATAAATTAACTCTTTTTAAGTTAAATAAGAACTTACTTAAGTTATACGCATACAATTTTTGCACAAAATTACCCAAGAATTGATAATAACAGTGGTATTATTATTTTTTTAATTTATTATTGTAGGTATGCTACATGAAAAATTTAAATTGAATAAATTCTAGATTGTTATATATCATTAAAAAGAGCTTCATTTAAATAATTTAAAAGTGAAAAAATTTTCAAAATCAAATAATTTCAAAAAAAGTTATGACGTTTTAAGTACCGATTTTTGGATATATGAATTTGTTGATAAAACTGCTGTCAAAATAAAGTTTTTTTCAACTAAAATTATTAAAACTTTGTCAAATCCTATCTAAATCCTTAAAACTTGGTGTCAATAGATAGATATAAGAGTAACCTACACATTAACATTTGCACGCACCCTGAGGGCGTATCCGGGGGCTAGAGGGGGCACCCAAACCCCACCTTTACTGTCATAATATCAATTTTTTATCTATAAATTTTTTTAAAAAAAACTGTTTTTTATTTTTCTATATGCAAGTAGTTGTTTTAATTTCTTTCTAGACCAATACGAGAGGTACATCTTAGAGTCAGGGTGTATGTGAGTAGGGCGAAACACGCTATTATTAAAAGACCCTGTTGATAAAAGAAAATTTTATTTAATTTTTTTTTTCAACTGAGGAGTTTTTTCAGAGGAAGTGGTGGAACTGACCCAATAAATGGGTGCATGTGGGAGAGGGGTAAACACCCTAAAATTGAAAATGATTATTTCAAATCACTATTTTTGAATTTCTTTAAAAAAAGTAGATATAGAATAAATAAAATACAAATTATATTATAATAGGTTAGAACATATACTAGCCGTGCATATCGAATTGAGGGCATGTGTCCCTTGTATCCCTTCACCTTAAATCTAAACAAACATAAATATATTATTAAAAGAGTGAATATTAATTAATATTCATATGAAAGTAGTTGTTTTAATTTCCTTTCAGACTTCCCCTAAATATTTATTTATATACCAAATAAGTATTTTTTACCTTTATTAAAAAAGAAATCAACCTTGTATAAAAAATTTAAATTATATTTTAGTACATTACAACTTACATTAGCGACGCACAGTAATTCAGAGAAAGGGTGTGTCCCTCTAACCTAAAAACAGAACATATATTAAAAATGATAATATTTTATACAGAATATATACTAAAAAAATGCTTATATTTTAGATGGTAAATTTTAATTTACAAACTTTACCCATGGCCCCCACAAGGGAGAGGGGGTCTGGTGGTATTTTTTGAACTGGAGCCCCCAACCTTTTTGGCTGCCCTTTTTTTTAGACTTGCAACTTTGCCATTAAAAGAGGACCTGCAGAAGACATAGGTCGGATGACCTCTCCAAACTTTAAAGTACAAATGTTTTACAAATAATTATCAATAAAATTATTTATAAAATGAATAAAAAACTTACAATACCTGCTGTAATAGTGTGTTTGTAATTTATTTTTCAATTCTCTAACTTCCGCTCGTAAAGCTTTTATAATTACTTCTTTTTGTTTAACACTTTGTCTGAAAACTTTCAATTTATAAGGTAGGCTGATTAATTTTTCTTTTGCTAAAGCTATCTTCTTACGGTTTTCTATGTTAGCTCTAGCTAATCTTGAAGACAAAATAGATGTCCTCTTTACTAATTTTTTCTCATAAGACTCTGGTAGTGAAAATTTGAAAATGAGGCATACTTCAAGAGAAAAAACATAAAGTTTTTTCTTGAAGTATGCCTCATTTTCAAATTTTCACTACCATAATTAGGTTCATTAATACTTGGAAAAACAATGCGTTCAGGTGATTAAACAATTAAAAAACATGAAACATTGTAAGTAGAACTACTAGATGTAGGCTGCAATGAAAGTGTCAAAGTTGACAATGGTTTATTGCATGCAAAAGGCTCTTTGCAAAATGAAACAAAACTTTTTTTTTTTAAACACTTTGACCATTGCAAACAAAAATAGAAAGTACATGACGATTGCTACATTTAATGCTGGTACCCAATGGCAATGTAAAGTTATCAGCTAAATATTTCTTGAATAATCCAAAAAATATATTTTTAAGAGATTTACTTTTTGGCATATTATACCTTAAAAGAGTAAAAAAATATCCCTAGTTGTGTGTTTTATAATAAAGTTATAAATAGTTGAAAATAAAAGTTTATAAATATCTATTAGAAATGAATAAAAGTTCACTGAGAAATTATTAAATATCAAAATAAAATATCGTTTTATAAAATCATATAGAAATAGCATAAAATATATTATTAGCACTTTAGCTTTCTTTCTTAAAAATAAACATAGCTAAAAAAAATAGTTTAAACTAACATTGACTTGCTCTTTGTGACTTACAAAATTTAGGGTACACATTTTTTAAGTTTAACCAATTTCCATTTGATGCAATAACTTTCATATTTTTCTAATATATTAAATTAATCTAATATATATATATATATATATATATATATATATATATATATATATATATATATATATATATATATATATATATATATATATATATATATATATATATATATATATATATATATATATATATATATATGTATATATATATATATATATATATATATATATATATATATATATATATATATATATATATATATATATATATATACCCGACGGGCATTTGTTTTTAAAAGTTACGATCTAAATGTATTTTAAATGTCTTTTAAACTTTAATGTTTAAAAGACGTTTAAAAGACATTTAAAACACATTTAGAACGTAACTTTTAAAAACAAATGCCCGTCGGGTATATATATATATATATATATATATATATATATATATATATATATATATATATATATATATATATATATATATATATATTAGATTTTATATATATATATAATAATAATAATAATAATAATATTAATAATAATAATAATAAACCTGAGCATATAGAACTATTTTATTGTTAAGGCTTATTGAAGGAGAAATTCTGCTATTTAAATTTGTAAGAGGGAAAATCACTTATATTAATTATTAACACATAAACGATACTTTTAACAATTATTAGATCAAGACAAATTTTTATTACTTTACTCAAATCAAAAGTTTATAATCCTTACTTTCAGAAACTAATTTCTCAATTTCATTGACAATGGCATTATTCATTTTTATCTAAATCATAAATTGATTTAATTATTATATAGTTTATGTGAAATAAACTATGCCTTTTTTAAACAATTATGTTTTTTTGATAAGTACATAATATTATTAATGACAATATTTTATACTAATAATATTTTGACAAACAATATTAGTCGAAAGAAAACTTATTTACCTTTTAAACACCACCAACCCCCCTTTTTTTTTCCGATACGAATTCTGAAAATAGAAATTGGGTACCAAAAGTGTGCACTAAAATAGAGATAGTGGGCATCATTATTTTTCAAAAATTTTTGGCAAGTGCATAGGAAATGTATAAACTTAAAAAAACTTAAATTATAGAAAATAACCTTACATTTTTGCTATGTTTGGGGAATACATAAAGTGCAACAATATTTTTAGCTTCAATAAATCCACTTATAAAATTTATTATATTATCAAATAAAGATTTATTCTTAAAGTTTAATCATTCTATTCTTAAAAAAATATCTATGTTAATATGAAATTCTAAAAAGTTAATTGACAGAGGTCGGTACAACCTCCCTTACTAAAACCAAACTTCAAAAAGCGTGGAACAAAATTTTAGTAGATTTATCGGTTTCGTAAAACGCGAAATCCGCATACCTAATTATTGTTATTATTATTATTTACATTCAATTGCTGATCATTAATTTAATATAATACAACTTTATTTCCCCAGATGCAATGCAAATTTTTAAAATGTATTTATAATACATTTATATATACATTTATAAATAATTTATAAATGTTTTATAAGTATGGATTGAATTGCAGTAACTGCATGTAATACAACTTCACACTTCACTTTATTTAGCATACATATTATAACATTTTAAAAATATTAAAATTATTTAAAAAAATTATTTATATATATGTATAATAGTTATCAACACATAAACCAACATGTAAACAAAGTCAATAACTCAATTAGTAAACGTTATTATGTTCTAAACACACTTTTAAAATGGTAGAAATTCCGTAAAACCACGAGACTAGAAGCCCTCCGTGGGCATCTTACCCCACGTAAACGAGGAAATCTTGCCTCATATGTAGTGAGTGCAAGTTTAATACAAATAAAACTAATTTTGTTGCTTAGTTAAAAAAATTTTTTTCTATATATTATTGTGGGACAAATTCTGTATAAAAAAAACTATTTTTTTACCTTCATTGCATAAGTATTGCCAGTCCAATAGACATTTGAAGTTAGAAGCAACTTACTAACAAAATACTCAAAAAAGTTAAAAATCTATTTAAACCTTAACTAATAACGATATTTAAACTATTTTTTGTTCCGTGATATTGTTTTAACTATATTAATATTATAATAGAGGAATAAAACATTACTATTCTATGATACCCTCATAAAAGCAAAAAGACTTCTTGCCCCACTGGTCATTTTGCCCCACCCTACCCTATCTTTAATTTAATTATTAAGATTTTTACTTTTAATTATTTTACTTTTATTTTTGTTTCTGCTTTTGTTTATAATATATTTATAATATTAGATAGAATTTTAATACAATTTTCTATTTAATTTATAATTAGTTATATATTCTTATTTTTGGTTAGTGATATAATATTACCTATTATTCTATTGTTTTATTATTATAAATATTATTTTATATTAATTTGTTCATTAATATCGCTTAAACTACGGCAAATATTATTATAATTACTATTATAATTGTTGCTATTATAATTACTATTTATAATATTGTTTTGTTATTATTTTTCATTGTTATTTTCATTATTATTTTCTTTTCTTTTTTTTTAAAACTTAACAACTTCAAGCTTTCTTCTAAATTTTGCAAATTTTCTTCTTTTATCTTTCTCATTCGTTTTACTATGACCTCAAATTTTCGGGGAGTATGCACTGCGTGCATGTACAAAAAAAGTTAGTGTAAGTTGCCGTGCAACTCAATGTGATGTATGTTTGTTTTGGACTCTTTCAAAATGTAGCAGGCTTTATGATCATGGGTACAATTTAACACATTCAAAACGCTCAACATGGCTGTGTGTAAATTGTACCAAAGGCGTCTTTCCATTGACTGGTGCATCTGATAACGAATTTAAACTACTCTTCTCTTCAAATAAAATTACTATAACTGATGATTTTCCTTTATCAACTAAACTCTTTCCAGCATCGGGATTGAATAAAATCTATACTCAATTTTGTAAATTTATTACATTGATGAGGAAAACTGTTCATCTTTTAATGTAGATTGTCAATATTATGACATTAATAAATTTTGTTTTACAACTTTGGCATCACAAACTCAATTTCCTTTTTCCATTTAAACACATCCTCTTTACAAAAGCATTTTAAAGACCTGAACATATTGTTACCATTAATTAGTTTTGAAATTAGCGTTGTTGGAATTACAGAAAAAAGATTAAAAAAAGAATCTCTTTCCACACATCCAAATATTATTCAAAATAATAATTTTGAACACACGCCAACCGAATCTTCTAGTGGTGGAACCTTGTTATATTTATAAAAAAAACTGATTTATAAAAGAAAAGATGATTTGATCATATGCACACCAAAATATTTAGAATCTACTTTTGTTTAAATAATTTTTCCCAAAAAATCAAATGTTATTGTTGGTTGCATATATAACTACCCTAGCATGGATATAAACAATTTCAAATATAAAATATCTTTCCTTCTCCAATAAATATCTGTTTTTCTACTTGACGATTTTAACATGGATCTGATACAGTCAAACTCTGACTTTACATCTTCTGAGTTTTTAAACTTACTTCGTATAATATTCGCCCATTTATTACGCTACCAACGAGAGCTACTGACCATTCTGTTACTATCATTGACAATATCTTTTCAAATGTAACCACTAACCAAGTTATTTCAGGAAATCTAACAACTTATATTTCTGACCGATTTCAAGCCATGGACTACCAAAGGAATAATAAAATCAATTCAAATTCGAAATCTTATTCATATCTTTAAACGCTATAAATATATCCTAATTAATCTAATAAAACTGAGTAAAAAAATACATTTCAAAAAATTCTTTTCAGAAAATATAAAAAATCTTCGTGAGACCTGGAATGGCATAAAAGTCTAATAAATGTCAAGACTGTCAATAATGTACCTTCAAATTGCTTACAAGTTAACGAAACATACATAACTGAACCAACTCTAATCTGCAAAGAATTCAACAAGTTTTTCACAAATGTAGGTCATAAACATAATTCTAAAATTCACTCATCTTACATTAGCTATAAAAAGTATCTTAAACATCCAAATCTTTATAGTTTACTGATATTTCCAACAAACCATTCTTAAATCTAATCACTTCCCAGCTAACACACATACGCTGTTAAAACATTAGAACAATGTTGCGTGTTTCGTTGGCCCAACATCGCCTGCCAACGTTGTTTTTATATCATTACAGTCGACGTAAACATTATACATATATAAATATTTGTAGTTGCTTGATTATGGGAACAAAAATCATGTTTTTATTGATTGTGATTTGATATTTTAATAATCACGGAAGATTTAATTTAAGTTATAATTTCGCAATAGCAATGTTTGGTCGTATACATTGGATCAACGTTGGGTTTAATTCGTAAAAACAATCAACTTTTTGCGATGTATTTACATACATTGGATCAACAATGATTTATATACATTGAATCAACGTCGAAATATATACATTGGATCAACTTTGGGTTTAGATGGTGAAAACAATCAACTTTTAGCGATATTTCTACATACATTGGAAAAACGTTGACTTATATACATTGAATTAATGTCGAGATATATAGATCGGATCAACGTTGGGTTAAGATCGATAAAACAATCAACTTTTTGCGATGTTTTTACATACATTGGACCAACGTAAATTTGCCAGATGTTTTTAGTTCCGTCGGTAATAATTTTATCATTAACCAAACTACCCTGGATCAACGTTGGTTTTGCATTGGAAAAAAGAGCCGACGTTTGCGATGGTTTTACATACGTTGGTCCAATGTAAGTGTGCTAGCTGGGTTATATCTAAATTAAAATCTAGAAAATCAATAGGCCTTAACAGCATCCTTACAAACATTCGTATTGATTTTAATTCTAAATTTTTTCATATTCTCTCTGAGCTATTTGATATCTCCTTCTTAAATGGAATTTTTCCTGAGATTTTGAAATTATCTTAGGCTGGGTGAATAAAAATAAGCAATTGCTTTTACTTAGTAATTGGTCAGCTTTAGGTGAATAAAAACCTCAGCAGTTTTGCTCAAATATTTATTC